TTTCCTACCAATGTTTATAGACCTCACCTCTTCAATCCAAAATAATAAGAAAGAAGCCAGGTGAGGGATTGGCCCATCCCAGGCAAACAGTCCAGATTACAGTCAGTGCCTGTGTCTTCCTGTGTCCACACCTCCTGCTCTGTTTTTAATGCTGACCTTACTCCTCCTACCACCTCTGGAGTCCGTACCAGCATCCTTCCCCAAGCCTCAGCAGTGCCCAGGTAATGTTACAACCTGTGCTCTGCCTTTTTATACTCCCGCTCTTTCTGCACTTGCTCCCCAGAGGGGCTGGCACAAAGCAGACTCAAATGATTTGCTAGCCTTGTAGATTTAATCAATTAACATATACATAATATTTTTTTTATTTTTATGTTGCCAATTTTAAAGTTTTATTTAAGCCGAAGCCGGTTTGGCTCAGTGATAGAGAGTTGGTCTGCGGACTGAAGGGTCTCGGGTTCTATTCTGGTCAAGGGCATGTGCATTGGTTGCGGGCACATCCCCGGTAGGGGGTGTGCAGGAAGCAGCTGGTCGATGTTTCTCTCTCATCGACGTTTCTAGCTCTCTATCTCTCTCCCTTCCTCTCTGTAAAAAATCAATAAAATATATTTTTAAAAATATAAATAAATAAATAAATAAATAAATAAATAGATAAATAAAGTTTTATTTAAGACATCGCATTTTCCATTTTACAATACAGTTATGAAGTGCATTATATTTCCTTTCCCTGTGCACAGTCCGTATTCAAGTATCAAGAATGCCCAGTCATTTACTATATAGCAGCTTAACTTTTAAAACTGCCATGGAATTTGCTACAAATTTGGGTCCTTCAATATTTTGTGTGGAACAATGCTAGATCTATGCTCAAAGCTGGCTTAGTCAACGTCTTCAATAGTGGGCCTGGAGGAGGCACCGCCAGAGGGAGGCGCTCCGCCACCGGGGCAAGAAAAGGAGGATTATACATAATATTTTAAAAAGCACCTGACACGGGCACCACATACAACCATGACCATTATTAACCTTCGTTGTGACCTCCCAAGATAGGTATTGCTGGTCTCATCTTAAATGAGGGCATCTATTCATGATCAGAAGGCTGATAAATCCGTCAGAGTAGGGACATGGCCCTCAGCCTACCAAGTGACCACAATTCCTGCTGTTTCAGCCCCACAAGGAATGAATCTCTAGTGGTGAAACCATGGACACTGCAGGCCCCCGGGGTGAGATCACATTGGTGTCCTGTGGTGTGCTGTATCAGAAGGAAGGGCTCAGATGGGCATAGACCGATTCCCCGAGCATGACCAAGTGAATAGCCTGGCATATTCTACCCACCTTTGTACTACCTCAATCAGTCTCAAGGTTTTCCCAACTTTAAAATGGAAACAATTTACTTGGGATGTGGCAAGGTCCCAATTCCTAGCTATGTTCATGGCAAAAGCTAAAACTTCTTGGGTAGACTCCAGAAAGGGACCCTGAAGTAGAGAAGGCAGCAAACCGGTGATGTTAGTCACTCCCATGAAGACTTCACAGGACAGGCTAGAGATTAACAATGTTTTTTAAAAACTTAACTACCAGATGCCCTGCCTCAGCAGTTGAGCGTCCACCCAGAAACCAAGAGGTCACCCATTCAATTCCTGGTCAGAGCACATGCCCAGGTTGTGGGCTCCATCTCTGGTGGGAGGCATGCATCAGGCAGCCAATCCATGATGTTCCTCTCTACTCAATGTTTCTATCCCACTCCCATTCTAAAAATCAATAAAAAAAACATATAAGCCGAAACCAGTTTGGCTCAATGGATAGAGTGTCGGTCTGGGGACTAAAAGGTCCCAGGTTCGATTCCGGTCAAGGGCATGTACATTGGTTGCGGGCACATCCCCAGTAGGGGGTGTGCAGGAGGCAGCTGGTCAATGTTTCTCTCTCATCGACGTTTCTAGCTCTCTATCTCTCTCCCTTCCTCTCTGTAAAAAAATCAATAAAATATATTTTAAAACAAACAAACAAACAAAAAAAAACCACTACTTACTACCAGAGCTGAAAATATTACTAATGGTCTGGTTAAAAACTCTGAATGAACTCTAGGCTGTCTAATTTTTAATCTTTAAAACAGTCCTGAAAAGTCATCCATTTCCATTATATATTACAAACCCATAATTAGGCCTTCTTCCTTTCTGGCTTGTCCTACATTTGAAAAGCATTCACCATTCTAGTAAAGCATTATCCCTCAGAATAACCACATCATTCTATACTTGCACAATTATGTCATGGACATAATCACTGCCATCATGATTTCAGCAGCTATTTGTTGCACTACAATTTCCAGACAAAATTTTGGTGTGGAAACAACACGGCCACAAGAAGATAATTACTCACAACTCTACCATGAATATAGCACAGAGAAAATGAAATTAAAATGCTAACATTTTTAGTATTTCATTTTTAATATCATGTTCATCTTTATATCCAGAAATTAATGACTAGAGACATTTATTGTTAGTATATTTTGTTTCTGATAGCTTCTCCTCCTCCACTCCCACCCCTACCTCCCCCTCCCCGATTTCTCCCTTTTCTCCTGCTACAGTAACTACTTCTGCAAGGTCTGAAAACCCACTATAGCTCAGCTGGCTCAGCTGAGTGGCTCAGTTGACTGGAGTGCAAGGATTTGATTCCCATTCAGGGTACATACCTAGGTTGTAGGTTCAATCTTCTATTAAAGCATGTATAGGAGGCAACAGATTGATATTTCTCTCTCACATCAATGTTTCTTCTACTGCCTCCCCCACACCCCTTATTCTTCTCTCTAAAAATTGATGCTCTAAAAATTGATAAACACATCCTTGGGTGAGGATAAATAAAAAAAGAAAAAGAAAAAGAAAACCCACTTTATGCAATGCATTGGCATACCAATGTTACCACTGATCAGATTTGGGATTTCAGTCAGGTTTGTCCTTGGCAACATAATCGTGATCAAGCTCCTAAACTTCTCTGGGCCTCAGTTTGGTCATCCAGAAATTGGGGACAAAAACAGTACCTACTCTGGACTTATTCTGATAATTTAGTTGGGTAACTTAGAGCTTCACAAATGCTCTGGATTTAGTTACTGCCAAGTCCACATCAGCAATTACCTCTTCAATTTATAAATTCAATTCAAAGATATTCAATATTTAAAATTTTACTCAGGCATGGATCGGTGGTTGAGCATTGACCTATGAACCAGGAGGTCATGGTTCAATTCCCATTCATAGCACATGCCTGGGTTACAGGCTTGATCCCTAACGTGGGACATGTAGAAGACAACCGATCAATGATTCTCTCTCATCATTTATATTTCTACCTCTCTTTTCCTCTCCCTTCCTCTCTGAAATCAATATATTTTTTAAAAGTCATTTATGAACATCAGTCCACACATTCTCTGAAGGCATAAGAGTTCTTTCTCCAAAACCTAAAGAAAGTGGATTTGTTCTCTGAGAAAATGGCCAGCATGCAGGGTAGCAGATTCTAACTAATTGGTACTAATTACTACCGGTAAAGGCTTTTTGAGGCTGACGGAAATGAGATCATATTAGTAAACAAATCTCAGGAAATGAAAATGAGAGCCATTGCACTCCCAAGTACTTTCCAAATCTACCTTAATAAGCAGTTTCATTCTGTTGGTTCACAACCATCCCACATAACATACTATGTGAATTTTGTCTGCTTAATTTCAGAAATATTAAAACTAATTTTTAGCTTCTACCACTGTGTTACCCATTTGGTCTCTGAGTATATTTTGATTCCTGCAAACCTATCCCCAATATCTTACATAAAATCAAAGGCAAAATTTGCCCTAATCCAATCCCCTTTCTGCCACAATCTCAGAGCATTAACTGACCAAAGAATCAATCAAGGTAGTCAATATGTCTTTTGAATAGTAGACAAATGTAAGCTAAGCCAATGGTGGTAACCAATATATTATACTTCTAACTAACTGAAAGTATAAGAATCCACTACCAAGATGTTGGGCCTCCCCAAGAGAAAAGGAAAGTTCCTGATGATACAGTCCTTAACCAACCAGCAGCATGAAGCTACCATAGCCCAAATATTATAGTGTGGGGGAATATTTAAAAAAGTGGAAGATCACTGTAGTGTCTACAGAGATTAAGAACTACTAGTTACAATCTTAGAAGCATGAACAGACTGAACCTTAGAGGGAAGGCAGGGAAAGGTGGATGGGAAGAGATCAACCAATAAACTTGTATGCATATGTACATAACCCGTGGACATGGTCAATGAGGTGGTGAGGGCCTGTGTGCAGGGCAGGATGGCAGCGGGCTGGAAGAGATTAATGAAGGGGAAAGGAGGACCTATATAACACTTTCAACAATAAATATTTTTTAAAAAGAATTTAAAAGATATATCTCAATATTCTGAATAAAATGCAATTTTTTTTTTTAAAAAGAACTAGTTAGAGATATAACAATTCATGACAACATTTACTGGTAATATACCCAATATATATCAGATATCTGGAATGCAAAGATGCATATAAGCCCCAGCTAGTTTGGCTCAGTAGGTAGAGGGTCGGCCTTTGGACTGAAGGGTCCCAGATTCGATTCCAGCCAGGGGCATGTGCCCAGGTTGAGGGCTCAATCCCCAGTAGGGGGTGTGTAGGAGGCAGCCAATCAATGATTCTCTCTCACTGATATTTCTATCTCTCTCTCCCTCTCCCTTCCTCTCTGAAATCAATAAAAATATTTTTAAAAACAAAACAAAATAAAGATGCATTGGGCAGGCACAGCCCTCAAAGGACACACATCTACCACATGTCAGCAGCTGGCCATCCCCAGGACATACACTAAGATCTGTGAGATGGAGAAGGCAGCCTAGGTCATTGTCAGCTGCAATAATCTAGGATTCAGATAGGATATGAGCAGGGTTTTAAAGGAAGAGTTAGGATTTGAAGAGAAGGACAGAGGAAGAAAAGGAAGGCAGGGATCCTAAAGGAGGCAAGAAGGGAAAGGCAGGCTTGCCTGCAGCACAGCTGGGGCTGATGAGTTAGCAGACAGACCAGATGAGCAGAGGGTCTTCCAACCAGATTCCCAATATCCCAGACAAGGTTCGGAATAGAACATTCTTCACGCATGGTCTGTAAAACATTTTAAATCTAGGAAAAATCATAACTAAGCTGGGGATGATAAATATGCACTAAGCCATGCCAGAACATGAAGTCACATATCTCTCTTAGTTTTCATTAAACGCGTGTCCTCTGCTCCAGAAATTAGACTTTTTTCTTTCGGCCTATGTCCTTCCACAACCAGCTCCCTAAAGGCTCTCCCCCACACTTGGCAACGTGGTTCAACCTCAGATTCATAATGACCATCTGGATGGGATTACTCTCGAAGGCACAGCTCTGATCCGTCTACTAAATGCCATTTCCAAACTGAACTTTTGATTTCTCTCAAATCTGGCCTTTTCGATGCAATGTTATATGTGTTACCATTATCCATCCAGTACTTCAGACTTTTAAACTGGTTTACCTCCCACCTCTCATTTAATTAGTCTCTAAAATTCTGCTAGTTTTGTCTCTAACATGTGTCTTTCATTCATGCATCCTTCCCATTCCCGTCGCCCTGGGGTCCTCACCATATCTTCTCTGGGTTGGTCCCCCCACATTTGTCCTTTCCTGCTCCAATCCATATCGCCTGCTGCCAAATTAAGTTTCAGAATAGACAGCTTCCTATCCACATCCTTCCCATCCCCCAAACCACCAATGGCTTCCTGCCAAACAAATCCAAAACCCCTGTTCCCACCAACATTTCTCATCTTTTCCCCCATTAGTCTGACTCACAGCTCTATGACCCAGTCACAGTGCATTATTTGTTGTCCAGAAGACAAGATCCACCCTCCCCTACCACCTTGGTTCTTCAGGAACGCCACTCCGCAAGCCCACGTGTCCAGATGACTGCCTACCCTCCGAGGACATCATCAAATGCTACTTCTTCTACAAAGCCATTCTGAAACCTCTAACAAGGAGTAATCTTTCCCTCTCTAAACTCCAGTAGCACTTCATCCAGAACCACCTGGCATGCGAGTTCCTTGTGTACCAGTATTCCAATTCTACAGGGGTAACCTCCTAAAGGAGCATCTCTGTATGAAAATAATCAAACCAATGTTCCAAGTAAGTCAGTACTTTCTTGTTAGGAGAAATTATGCCAAGAGTTATGGAAAACATAAGAGTATCAGCTGATAGCTGCTTTGGAAAATTATGTTCAACACGTGCAAAAGAAATAAGCCCATGTAATAATATTAATAACTTTGTTTAATCATCATATACAGATGTTAGCTAAAGCCATCAAAATACAGGACGCTTCAAAGAAAGTGAGTCTCCTTAAAAGAAGGAAAAATCTGAGGTAGCATACCACAGTGGCTTCTAGCACAAACTCTCATGCCATTCAGGCTGGGTTCTAATCTTAACCCTGACGCTTACTCTCTGTGACCTTGGGTAAGTCAGTTAGTCTCACCATGCTTCAATTTCTTATAAATAAATTAAAATAGAGATATTAATAAGACTGTGAGAATTATGCACATATTGTATGCAAAACACTTAGAGCCTGGCACATAATTAGTGCCATGCATGTTGGTTAGTCTTATTATCATTGTGAAAATGTTTTCTATGGGAAGAAAAAAGAAACAGGAATCAGCTATTTGACAGTTCAGATGCCTAGCCAGATTTTTACTAGACTTGACCATCTTAAAATCGTCAAGTCAGATTTGCTCTATTCCCTGACAAGGGATGTTTTGACTGACAGGTAGGACGGGATTTTCTGAGGGTGGCTCTTCGTACAGTTGATTGAATGTTGTGAAAACAGAGCAGGCTGCAAGACCATTGTATCAAACACAAAGCTTTTAGCCATTGAGGGCTGGCCCACAAACAGCCATTGTTTGCCATAAACAACCCACTGTTGCCATCCAGATGGGTGGCATTGACTTACCCAATGAAGCCCATTGACTTACCCATTTTGGTCAGTGGCTCTGCATAGACACACCACAAATGCAATTAATTGCTGCAAAAGAAATCTAGAACTATGCACTGAATTATGTCTGATAAGCAAGGTTTTAAGTTCAGCTTTTTAAAGGACACTAATCCACAGCATTCAGTAGCACTAAGCTTATATGAGTCCGTTTCAAAGGCCATCACATCATACAGTGATTTATTTATTAGCAGTGTGGGAAACAGTTGTGACTGGAGGGTACCAACATTTGTCATTTTCCCTCAAAATTTTTAGAACACAAACATAAATTGCCACAAATATCTCAACTTGAACTTGCATTGCAGGTACATATTCATACACAGTAAAATGAAAACTGTTGGACACTTAGTGCTTTATTATTTTTTATTAAAATTACTTATAGTTCATTACTGACATGTCAGAATGATTAGAGTGATAAAATAACAAATTCAAGTTTATCATCTCATTTTCTGATAAAAATAGAAATTATAAGAGTTATGGCAATAAGACTGGTGCTACACAAGAACAAACAAAAAATCTGTCTCTTTTTCCAAGGTTGGAATCTCTGTTTTTATTCATTCACTAGTTGGAATATAAACATGGCTGCTTCAGCAAAGTATCTTCCTTCCAAGTGTGAGAGGTTAGACAAGTTAGATTGACTGCCAAAATAAACACCCCAAAATCTCTCTGGACTAACGCAATAATGGTTTGCCTTAATCTTCTTCATACTGCATTCCAGAGCAGCTTCACAAAGGAGGCTCTGCTCTACACCGTCATTCAGGACCCAGGTTCCTTCCATCTTGTGGCTCCATCATACTCTAGGATAGGGGTGTCGAACTCAATCAGAGAAGGGGCCAAAATCTAAAATCCAGCCTAAATTGCGGGCCGAATGGTTTACTGAACAGTCATAAACTGTCATTGTGATGGAAACGCAGCGGAGTGCAGTGATGACAGCGCGGTGCGGGCCACATTGCAAGGCCTGGCGGGACAGATTTGGCCCGCGGGCCTTGTGTTTGACACATGTGCTCTAGGACCTCAGCATTCACCCCTGCAGCTGGCCAGCAGACCAGAAAGAGCAAGTATGAAAAAGGCACCCCATTCCTAACTGCCTCTCATTTTTACATACATCCTATCCTGTCAGTGGGAACCAGTCCTGTGGTCCATTTAGATGCAGAAAGTAATCTGTACAGTGGTTGTCAACTAGGGGTCATTTTGACTCTTGGGGACATTTGGCAATATCTGGAGATATCTTTGCTTGCATCTGGTGGGTAGAGTAAGTCCAGAGATGCTATATCCCACAGTGGGCAGGACAGTTTCCCTACAAGAAAAAAATTATCTGGTCCCAGATATCAATAATGTTGAAATTTGGTAAGCATCTAGCCAGACGCCACAATCACTCAACAATGCTCAGGTCTAGCACTATTTTCCACTAACACACACTCAACTTGACCCCAACAAATCTACATTATGGATAGTTTGTTTATTCATTTGCTTCTGTTCTTCCATTCATTCATCCAAACCCCTAACCAAATCAAGGTCCCTAAGGACAAAGAATTCACAATGGAGCAGGGGTGCAACCATATTCAGAATTATTACACACAGGCGTAAGTGGGAAGTGGGATTAAAAAGAACAAACAGCCAAAATTGGTTTGGCTCAATGGATAGAGCGTCGGTGTCCGCACTGAAAGGTCCCAGGTTCGATTCCAGTCAAGGGCATGTACCTTGGTTGCGGGCACATCCCCAGTAGGGGGCGTGCAAGAGGCAGCTGATGGATGATTCTCATCGATGTTTCTAACTCTCTATCCCTCTCTCTTCCTCTCTGTAAAAAAATCAATAAAATATATTAAAAAAAAAAAAAAAAAAAAAGAACAAACAAAAGGAAAGTTAATTCTGTCTGAAAGGGTTGGGGGATGACCCATAGGGCAGGTGAAATGAGAGGGAAATCTTCACGAATATAGTTACATCTTCCATCAAGATGTTGTGGGTTTTTTGGTGTGGTTTTTTTTTGGGGGGGAGGGGGAGGCAGGGTATAGTGAGGGGGTGACCCAGGGAAAGGGAACTGAATGAACAAAGCAAAGACAATATGAAAGGATATGATTTATTCCACTTTCTGACATGGGGGAAAATAGTAACTGGGATAGGAGGGGATTTTTGTTGAAACAGGTTTTAATGCTGTATTCATAAACGTTTTCAGCTCCTGGCAGCTGATCGAATCTCTCACACCTACATTCTGTAGAGTGGTTCCTCCAGAAACATTTCACACCACTACACTTTACAGACACTTGTTAGCATAGGGCAAAGCTCAGGTAATAGCCAGAAATCTCACTGCAATTTCCCCAAAAATAGTCCATCGCCAACTCTTTCAAACAACCAGGCCTCAAAGTCACATCAAATCACCAAAACCATCCACCTTGGTTCCCAAAGATAGGACAGTTTAGAAGTCAAACCTCTTAAATTATGTTACACTGAACCTGTTTAAGTTTTCACCTCTTCCATTTCTTACTCCCAATGGTGAATGTGGGTCCCAGGATGAGATTAAGAATATGGACTACTAGACTCTCATATCCCAGCTCTGGCATAAACTCACCTAAGTTGCTAGGCTCACCTACCTCCCCAATAACACACTTACAGTGCTTAGCACTACACCTAAAGCATATAATATCTAAATACTATTACCCTTGTACTATGGCTAGATCCTCCACCTCCAAAATTTTATAAATTATGTAACCTAACATAGTTTGGGAAAGAAAATATCTGATCAACTTCCATGTCATTTTGTAGATCATTAAGAACAATTGATTGCAATTTGCTTTGGGCAAGATGTTTTGCATTCCAGAGCCAACATCACAGTGTAAGACAACAGTTGTTCTTGATTTTGAACCTAAAATTAAATTTTAAAACTGCCATATTCCTACACAAATATTTACCCTTATTAGTCTCTTTACTTACTCTTCCTCCCTCAAACTGTTGTCTCCCTCTCTCACTCTCTACTTGTCTTATTTTAACTGTGATCAGCTTTGTGAAAACAAAGTGTATTGAGCTGTTAAGTACTATAGATTATATTGAACACACTAGTCACCTAGTTCTAAAAAGCCTCATAAAAGGAAGAAATTTGTTTCTTTGCAAGTCGGAATCT